TCTCTCTCTCTCTCTCTCTCTCTCTCTATATATATATATATATATATATATATATATATATACACACATAAATGAAGTATGTATATTGGGTGCAAATTGGTGAAATGCATGGGGAACTTAAGCCATCAACTTTTACGATGTTACATACAACCTTTTAGCTATAAGACTAATCCTATTCGGTCCTTCATTTTATGTTGTCCATCAAATGAGTCTAAACATAGAAACATATCTCCATTAACAACTACAAATTGTAATTCTTATTTGATGTCTAAATGGGATTTACTCGATTTAATTGTAGGTGGCACAAACATCAGAACGAATGAGGCAATGGGATGTGGGAAAGGATTATGAAAACGATGATCAAAAAATTCCTCTTTCTCAATGATACTTGATTCGTCAGAACTCGAATTTGATATTAAGAAAGGTGTGGGACAGTTTCTTCTGGTAAGTGATGCCTGACTTGTTGAAACTACCCATTGAACGATTTCTCAAATAAAGAAAGTAATTGCATCAAAATGTCTGATAGCTTTCCTTTGTTATCTATTGTGGTGCTACCACACCTAGATATGGTTATCATACATAGTATGCTCTTCAAGGTTTCCTGGGAACGACTCGGTAGTTCCATGTTTTCTATCTGTGAGACCAACATACAAATTTTCATTTTGCTAACATCTGTTTCTTCCATCTGTACCATATTAGTGCTTTGTTTTTATTTTTGAAATTTAGTTTTGGGACTCTGCAAACTCAAATTTATGTTGATATGTTTACATTTTAGCTAAAAAAAAGCATTTCAACGTGAAATTTGGATGATAATAACATGCACTGTGCATGGTTATAATGACTTCAAGTGCGTATGGTTTTCCCTTCTGTAACAACCCAAAAAAATTGGTGAAACTCAAATAAATAACTTTTGGGATAGAAAATGGGAAAGATGAAAAAAGGAGGGCCTATTTTGCCATTAACACACAAACAAAAAAGAAGGGTAAAAGCAATTGGATGCTTTGTTTGGGCTAAGGGGTTGTTTGTTTCTATTAAGATGCAACATCTAAATCTAAGGGGCTGTTTGTTTGGCTCTTAATGATGACATTAAGAGCCAACCTCTTAATCGGTCAGAGGTTGAGGTTGTTTGGCAAAAAAAAATGTCTCTTAATAGTTACAATCTCCCTCTTAACCATTTTGCATCGAGGGTACCACTAAACCATTCAGATTACAATTCTTCCCACTTTACCCTTCTCCACCCTTTACCAGAGTCATCGTCTCCTTCACCCTCCTCCATCTTCTCCATCTTCTCCAGCTGGTCTTCACAGCCCCTCCCCCACCCTTTACCAGAGTCATCGTCGTCGGTCTTCACAGCCCCTCCCCCACCCTCTCGTCGCCGGTCTGCAAATCGCCACCCCCATCCTACGATCGTCTGTCGTCTCCGTCTGTCGCCTCCATCGTCTCCATCGCCGGCGACTAGGCCCACCTCTGCTTCTCCGATGATTCTGCTCAGGCCCGCCTCTGATTCTCCGATGATTCTGCTCAGGTCCGCCTCTGCTTCTCCGATGATTCTGCTCAGGTCCGCCTCAGCTTCTCCGATGATTCTGCTTCTCTATTTCGATTCCAAGCTACCCAAACCCAACCTCCCAAAACCCTCATAAACCTCCTTTGGCAAAACCCCATTCCCAGTTTCTGCTTCCCTACTTTTCTTTTCTTCTTTGCTGTTCTTGTTGTCTTTACTTCCTTATCAGACTGCTCAATAACTACCCTCCTTTCTTTTGTTCTTCTGGTTTTAATTCTATGTGGTTCCATGTTTTTCTGCACAAATGTATTAGCAGCGCTATGCACAATGGGTTGGGTGGATTGTGGTGATTATGGTGGTGATGTAATAGGTTCATCATGGGTATTAGAGGGCTTTTCTGTAGGTGTGGTAGTTGTTCTTGGTGGGTTTAAGGATGTAAGGCCTAAGGCAAAGTCTAATTCATGGATTGAGACAGTAGGTGGTAAAGGGGTTGTGATCTCAACAGGGTTAGGTTCAAAAGTAGTGGTTTCCATGGGTTCAGATACTGGGTTAGTAGTTTTAGGTTTTGGTTCAGTGTTTGTGGTTTCAACAGGTCTGATAATGATTAGGTTAACAGGAGGAGTTTCAACTGGTTCTGGGGAAGGATTAACAGGCTCATCAAAGGTTGGCTTCGTAGCAGTTTGTTCAACAGAGGTTTGTTTAACAAGTGTGGTTTCAAAGTGGCTATGGCTAACAGGGAGCTTGGTGAACTTGTGAGCTATGGCTAACAGGGAGCTTGGTGAACATATGAGTGTTTGATACGTTTGTATTTGATTAATATGAAAACTTGTTTTGAACAAGTAATATTATGTTTGTTTGGATTAATATGAAATATGTAGTTACATTTACAAAGTAATTGTTTTATTCAGATATCTGCCAAACAGCTATATTTCATTCAGTACTAAATCATACAGAGGGTTAAAATGGTAATTTGTTATCATTCAGAAAACATTTACCAAACAACCATATTTCATTCAGCACTTAACCATTCTGACCCTCTTAACCATTCTGACCACTTAACCATTTTGCACAAAATCATTCAGCAACTGCCAAACAGCCCCTAAGAGGTGAATCTTGTTTGGCAAAAAAAAAGTTTGTCTCTTAATGGTTCTAAAACCATCTGAATGATTTTGTATCATGAGTCTCCCTTAACCATTAAGTATCCCGATTTCATTGTAAACAATTACCAAACAATTATTTTTCAGTTTGCATTATATCATGAAAATCTCTTAATCATTTTGACCACTTAACCATTATGCACCAAACCATTCAGCAACTGCCAAACACCCCATAATTTGAACCGTTGAACCTGGTTTGGTCTGCATATAAGTTGGGTTGTGAAGTGGCTGGTAATTTTCGTGTTATAAATAAATATAATGTTTTTTTTTTCAAATATATAATATTTATACACTGCAAATGCAACAAATAAATTAACACATTTTTTCCATTTTTAATGAGGTTTGAATTCCTGACTTTCTAAAAGGCCAAAAATTACGATACTGCTAGGCCAAATACTATTTAATAAATAAATATAGTGTTAGGAGGTTCTGATTAAAGAAATGAAGTCTTAATTTTTGAAATAATTATTTAGGGCATGATTTTAAGGAATTTTTTGGACATTGTAATTTAACATCTAGATAACTATTTTATCATTTCAAGGCATTTTAGTTAGTAATTTATTCAAAAATTAATACATAGAATTTATAAGGTTAGTTAGTAGCGGATCCAAGAATTTCTTACGGCAGAAGCACTTTTAAGGTGGATGAAAGATCTACAAAATCACCATAAGGGAAAATCAATTGTGTCGATTTGGGAAATAAAATACATTTTTTTCTAATAGAATCGATCTTGATTTTTAAATTAAATACAAGTTTCCTTGAAAATGAGATAAAAAGCAACGATTTTTAAAATGAATTGACGTTGGGAAGGAAAATAAAGCATGAAAAATAATAATAAATGAAATATTGACAAAATATTGTCATAATGCTAATAATTGTGCATATGAAGTTGTGAGTTCGAAGCAACTAGATACTTAATCCAGTTGTAAGACATTCAAACTGCAGGTGTCGGGTTGAAATTTAATTAGGACCATTTGAACGTAACCCAACCCGAAGAACTCGATGCCTTTTTATACCATGTATTTAACATATGTACAAGATATTAGACCAAACCGGATAAAGAAAATAGGGTAAACTATCGATCACGAAACCGTATTACTTGAGAATCGTGTGAGATCACTTTCCGTATTGATATTTCGACCCTATGTTTGGGTTTTATGAAATTCAATATGGGATAAGACTCAAGAGCACTATCGTTTTTAGGCATAAAAACTAAAGCAAGTTTACTGGAGAGTAGACCGAGATTTCTTCATAAGGAAAAATAACTTAAATGATGGTTCATTATTAGGAATAATGGACAGTTACAACCGTTTCACTAAGATCATGGGTTGGCATTAACTGCACCGTAATCGCTTCTGGACGTACACCAAGTCTGGATACGTTTCTGCTTCTAGACGTGCACCAAGTCCGGATACGTTTCTCCATTACATTCCAAGTCCAAGCATCTGAATAGCTTTTGGGGCGCTGCCCCAAACCGCCAGAGACTCTGTCCCTTGGACCCCTGATATGTGTTGAGAATTCAACATATAATGCACTCATTTTACGTCTTATTAGTTAAAATTAGTTTCTTTTCATTCTCACTTTGAGTCATTTTGATTAATTTCTTTATTCCTTTATTATTATGGAGCTAAAATATTGTGGTTAACTTGTTGGGACTCAAAGATACAAGCTCACGAAGAATTTTTGCTAAAACAGCCTGATGCTACAGCATTGCAGCAGCAACCAACTGATACGTGCACGGCTTTGCTAGGGCTTAACGATTAAGTTGCTGCCTTTTGAATGTTGAATGGAAGACAGCTGGAAAACAGCTGGAAGACAATTTAAAATCTGGGATTTTGACTTTATATGTACTCTTGTACTTTAGATGCTCTTTGGTTAACTTTTGGGTATTAACCTTTGGGTAAATTTTTGTTGTTTTGTGTCTCCTTTGGGTATAAAAGGAGGGGCTTGGCCTTGTATTTCCACATACCTTTTAACATATATCCAAGATCAAAATCAGCTGGTTAGGGCTGATTTTGAGAGAAACTTTTGAGAAATCTAAAGTTCTTGAGTTTTAAAGCTTTCATCTTTTAATTCTTGTCTTTTAATTTCGTGTACTTTATTTTATGTTTCTTTACATTTATTGTTATTTACTTTCCGTTATTTGATTTCCGTAATTTACATTCTCGTCATTTACATTTTCGTCATTTACTTTCTCGTTATTTACTTTACGCAATTTACGTTTATATCTTTACTTTCCGTCATTTATTTTTCTTGTAATTTACTTTCCGTTATGAGTAGCTAAGCTTTTATAGCTTGAGTGTGAGACGGAAATGTGAGATTTTCAAATCAAACGAAAGTAGCTAAGTGTTTTCGTAAACGACGTTCCATTGTTTCATTCGAGTTTTTATAAAAACCAAGCACACTTCTTGACGGGTTGATCACTTTGAAAGTGTTAAAGTGTCATGGACTTAGAGATAAGTCATTGTAAGCACGTCAACTTGAATGACATAAGAGGTAGACTTGAGAAAGTTGCCGACAAGAAGACTTGTCATTTATGTTTTTCAAAACTTAACTCCCGACGGGTTGGTCACTATTCGAAAGTGTCAAAGTGTGATATATTCAGAGATGAACTATCAAGAACACGCCAACTCGAATGATATGGGAATCGACTCGAGAGAGTGATTYTTAACAAAGAGATTTGTTTATCCATATATTTTGAAAACACTATCTTGTCACTATCCCTGG